GGCAACATAGCGAGACCCTGACTCTACAAAAACTGTTAGCCAGGCATCGTGGTGTGCACCTGTAGTCCCAGCTGCTCCGGAGGCTGAGGCAGGAGGATTGCTTAAGCCCAGCAGTTTCAGGTTACAGTGAGCTATGATGATGCCACTGCACTTCAGCCTAGGGTGAGAGAGTGAGATTCTCTAAAAAAATAAAAAGTGTTCATTTTGAGCTGCTGATGTCATCACCATGGTGATTATTATGGGGCAGCTGGAGGTGCCAGGCCTGGTGCTAGGGGCTGGTAGAGGGAGGTGACCCCCACTCTCAAGGACTCAGTCTCAGAGCCCACTTCAGAGTCAGGGAGGCAAGGAGACGCACAGGGTGCTGGAGGAGTCCCGGGCCTAGAGGTGTGAGGCCGCCTGGGAGCTCAGAAAGGCTTTCCTTAGAGGCCCAATCCAAATCTCCAAGGGGAAGTCCGAGGCCACCAGTTGGGGAAGGGTGAGAAGCTCATTCCAGAATGTGGGGACATAGGCAAAAGCTCAGAGGCAAGAACAAGGGGTGCGGGGAGCTGTGCCTGGCAGTCCATGCTTCCAGAGGCCCAGGTACATAGAGGCCCATAAGGCAAAAGAAGGGGCCGCAGGTCAGATGGCATTCTCTGTCACAGCCCCTGACTTCAGAGTGGGCATGTGATCTGCTTCCCCCTTGACTGGTGCCCGTGAAGTGTGGACTTCGGGAGGCTGTGGGGGGCCTCCGAAGGCTTTTACGATGGGGAGCTAAGTGGTGAGCCTTGTAGTTCTGAAAGATGACTTGAATGCAGCATGGACCGAGAGCAGGTCCAGAAATGGGGAAACCACTAAAGAGATAGCAACAGGAATTCAGGAAAGAGATGCAAGAGGTGTCACCTTGGGCCCCTGGGCAGGAAAGGCAGGCATCAATTAGAGACCCCTCCCCAGAAGAACAGGCCAAGGGTTGGCCTTTCAAGTGGGTCAGAAGTGAGCTCAGTGCTGTGTCCCTGCCCTCTGTTAGGAATCCTAGTTGGCTGGACCGATGGGTGAGTGGAGAGTCCTCTTGCCATTTTTCACACTTAGGAAGTCACTTGGGCAGGCAGGCGGGCAGTCACTGGACCCCTTGAGACCTGGGAGATGGCAGGTTGCAGGGACTACTCATTTGGAATTTTTCCATTCCACCACCATCCCTCCCTATCTTGCTGAGAACTTAACCTCGGGTCTGAGACCTGCAGACTTGGCCCAGCTAGCCCTGGCCCTCAGGGATGGAAGAGAAGGAGGAATTGAGATCAGAGTTCTCACTGAGATGCGCCAGGTGGTCTAGAAAGACCGTGGCACTGAGCTGCAGGCATCTTCTCCTGTTGTTCCAGATCTACCACACTGTGCTGTGAATCAGAGGAGACACAGAGCAAGACCCTCCACCAGAGGGGGGAGTGGGCGGAGGCAAAGAGTGCTAATATGAGGAACGAAGTAGGGGCTGGCCTTTCTGAATCCTCACTATGTGCCTTCCAGGCACCATCCCAGGCAATTCAAAAGGCATCAGACTGAGGGCCGCTCCCCTGCCCCCATACCCCCACCCTCCCCTTGAACCACGTCTGCCAACGCCAACACCCTGGACGGTGCCAAATCTCACTGCCTTTGCACACCAACGCCCCTGGCAAACTCCTCTCTGACCTTTCTTCACCGGCTCCCGCCCAGGAAGGGCTCCCTCTGGGCCCCCAGCCAGCTCTATAATCTGAGCTTCCTGGAGGGGCTTAGTGTCCAGCTCTCTCCTATAGCCTGGGATGGAGCCTGGTGCTGAGAGGGCAGTCAGACACTGTCCCACCCCACTTCCCCATCCTGCTTGGGGGAGCACAAAGGCTCCCAGGCACTGCCACCCTGGTGAGGATGGTAGTGCTGCCAACACAACAAGGCACCCAGAGCAAAGTCTAGGGCCCAGAGCAAGGCTGGCATGAGCCAAGGAGAAAGCAGATCACGAGCTTGTTCCAAAGTCTGACCTGGGGCTGTGCCAGGGAGTGACAAGGTGATAAAAACAGGATTTCTGCAGATCAGGCCTCAGGGGCACCTGCGAGAGCCTG